CTGGCTTTCTATTTCGAGGTGTTCGTCTTTGCCTTCCGGAAGGAAGCCTGCGGCAGCGGCTTATTGCCGAGCTCCATGGGGCCGGTCACGTTGGGCGGGACAGGTCCGTTGAGTTGGTGGGTCGTTCCTTCTATTGGCCGACGCTTCGTCGGGATGTGGCTCGTTTTGTGAGTCGGTGTCGTGTGTGCCATGTCTCGAAGGGGAGTGCCTCTAATGCGGGCCTATACCGGCCACTACCCATTCCTTCTCAGCCTTGGTGTGCGGTGAGTATGGATTTCGTTTTGGGTTTACCTCGTACTCAGCGTGGGTTCGACTCTATTTTTGTTGTTGTGGATCGGTTTTCCAAGATGGTGCATTTCATACCTTGTAAACGCACCACTGATGCTCTTCATGTTGCCCAACTGTTTTTCCGGGAGGTTTACCGTTTGCATGGTTTGCCGTCTTCGATTGTTTCTGACCGTGATACTCGTTTCTTGAGCCACTTCTGGCGGAGCTTATGGCGCATGGCCAATACACGGCTAGATTTTAGTAGTGCTTATCATCCACAAACGGATGGCCAGACTGAGGTCGTGAATAGATCGTTGGGCAACTTGCTTCGATGCTTGGTTGGTGATAATCTACGTTCTTGGGATCAGCGATTGAGTCAGGCTGAGTTTGCACACAACTCTGCCATCAGTCGTGCCACCGGGTTCTCTCCGTTTCAGACGGTGTATGCCGTCCAGCCACGTGGACCGTCGGACCTGCTGGCCTTACCATCCGCGGCACGAGTTGATCGCCGGGCCGCCGATCTCATTTCGGACCTACAGGCCACGCATGCGGCCGCACGGGAGCATTTGGAGTCCACCACCGCGGTTTACAAGAGGCAGGCGGACGCTCGGCGTCGACACGTTGAGTTTGAGGTAGGTGATTTTGTTTGGGCGGTGTTGACAAAGGACAGGTTCTCGGCCCATGAGTATAATAAATTGTCAGCTCGTAAGATTGGTCCGGTTGAGGTGCTGGAAAAGATCAACCCCGATGCCTATCGTCTTCGCCTGTCGTTGCATCTTCGCACTTCTGACGTTTTTAACGTCAAGCACTTGGTTCCGTTCACAGGCGATAACTCGGACGGAGACGAGACCGGTGCGGATTCGCGGCCGAATCCTTCCCAACTGGGGGAGGATGATGGAGACGAGACCGCGATAGCATATTTGAATAAATACGATCAGCTCCGAATTTAGCTTATTATTATTTTTCCTTTTAGTATTTTATTTATTGTTTTATTTAGGTGCTTTTAATTAGTAGGAAATAATTATCTTGCACTTGTTAGCAAGATGAGGACTCTTTGTTCTTTTTATTTCGCGTGTGACGCAAAGCAGAACATTCATTGTTGAGTTTTATCTGATTTTGAGTGAATTCTTTTGAGAGAGTATCTCGTGTTCTTCCCTACGTATCACGTTCTACCATCATATATGCTTATGTTTGGGTACAATCAAAGTAACCAATCCTAAATATTGAAAATTTATTAATGACTCTAAAAATGTGACAGTCCATATCATCTCATAGCCATATTCTTAAATTAGTTCATTCAAATGTAATTACGCAATTATCATCCTGAACACTACAGTTAAGGAATTGTAACTGGCATTCACGTTCACAAAGTAACATATATAATGTTCCATTAATATTGCTTAAAAGAAAATCATTTCCACCATCAAACTAAATGTTTGTTTCCCAGAAAACGACTGGAGTAATTCAACAAATTGCACCATATTAATTAATTTCATGATGCACTTATATATTAAGACTTAAAAATAAAGGGGGTATGGACCAAGCAAAATACATAGGCTTTCATTGTCATGCTATTGTTGTAATTAGTACAGTTGGAAATTTTAAAGTACCTTGTATCATCATGTGATAAAAATAAAAAATAAAAAATAAAAAATAAAAAACTAATAGAAAATTGGCTTTACTTATGTAATTTTGCTCTTTTGAATTCATTTATATGCTATATATGTATAATTATAGCAATCTATATGTTAAATAATTTTATAGCAACCTAAATCGTTTTATAGCAATCTTTTGAATTTATTTACATGCTGTAGTATTTTTTTTATGGTTTGCAACCTAAATGTTAAACAATTAAAACTTGGCATTTTCTTATTTATTTATTTCTGCGGAAAATAAGTAGGAGTCACAAATGTTCATAAATTGCATTAAATGTTGAATAGGGAAAGTAATTAAATGAACAGCCGACTTTGAACCATATTATGGCCAAGTGGTACTTTTTGTTTTTTCAAGTCACTTTCAATTTAATTAGGGATCATGTAAGGTGAACATGGCCATTATAATCCAGCATTGTGGTATATTGAACTGCGAAATATAGCTCAAAGTTGTATTAATTAATCTTTCGAAAAATATTATATAAATTTCATCAGCACCAAAGAGCATACATTTTCATGGAGTCAAAATAATATACTCACTCGGCTTATGAATAAGGATTGTAGGACCACGAGAAATTGAAAGCGTTGACCAGATCGCCAGAACACAAATAGGAAAATGTTGACCTGTTCAATGGGCTTTGATTCAATGGAAATTGCTATTGGGCTTATTCAACTTCTTAGCATATTGACCCAATTTCGGCCAATTCCTAAATAAAGTGTTGCCAAATGCTGCATCTAATTTCTAAATCCGTGTATGTGGACAATACTGGCCTTCAACTAATTGTCCGTCCGTTGAGGAATTTGATCGAGCTTAAGTCAAGCCTCAATTTTTTGAGTCGAGACTCAAATCGAGCTCGAGCATATAATATTAAATTCGAACTCTCAAATTCGAGCCTGTAGTATGTAAATTCGAGTTCAAATCCACTCGAAGATTATATATAATAATACCTAAATATCCCTAACTATAACTTTTTTTATATAGAAATTCAAAGTCAAACTTAAGCAAAAGTCGTGTCCATCTCGAGCATCTACATTTTTTTTAGAGTCAGGCCGAGCTTACAATTATTCAGCTTGTCGAGCTCAGGCTCGGACATCAATAAAAAAAAATCGAGCCGCAATGAGAGGCTTGGAGAATTAGTTAGAATATTATAATTTAATTACGAATATAGATGTCAAATTTTTGTATTCTTACAAAAAAAAAAAATTGTAAAGCCGTATCTATTATTATTATATAAAGAGACAACTCAAAAAACCTTGAAATCTATATATCTATATTTAAAGAGGTTGTTGGGAAAATACATTAATAGAAAGTTTGACCAAATAAATATAATGTTTGACTTACTATTAATGGAAAGTTAAAAAAACACATGTGAATTTTTAGTAACAAAATCTGAATCCTATTTTTTTATAATAGATTTAGAGATTCTTATAGCACATTTTTAATCTCATTTTTTTCGTATCATGTTTTATTTTTTTTACCAAAATTTTAAACATATATTTTTTGGTAACAAATTTTGAGATTCTTATGCCAAAAATATGTCAATATTTATGAAAACAATTCTAAATACAAATTAATTTAAAAACCTTTCAAATTGGATACAAATTTAGGAAACAAATAGTTGTATAATTCTTAACCAATTTTTACAATCTTATTGAATAATTTTTTTCTTTCAAAAAAAGTGTGTAAATTGGATAAAAACCACGTACAATTTTTATTTTAAAATAAAACTGATATTTGGACGGGATGTACATTCAAAACCGTGTCCACATTTTTTGGTAACAACTGTTCATCTTTGATATTTAAAGTCACCTTATCCAATTATTTAGGAAAAATAGTGTGCAACTTTTCAAAATTTAAATGCATCAATTTTTTTGGATTCTTATATTTTTTCTTAACCATGTTTTACCGAGATTTTGGTAAGTTCATATCATTTTTTTTTTCTTTTGGGTTAAGTTCATATCATTTTCCTTATGAAAGAGACAGTTGCATAAACATTAACAAATTATTTTAATTTTTTATTAGAATTATTTTCAATTCAATTTGTTTGGTAAAAAGAAGGTGCAGTATTAGGAAATATCGGTTAAATTTTTAGGAAAAAATTGATGATTTTTTCTATTGGTATAGAAAAATATTTGGATCAATTTGTCTGATAAAAAAAGCGGTTTATTGGTAGGAAAATCAGTTTCATTTTCAGGAGTAACTAATGATTCTTTTCATTTTTCTTAACTGAAATTTAGAATTAGATTTTAAATAAATAATGAGTGAAAATCCCTAAAAAAAAAATTTTCTACTCCAACTTTGTTTAATAATAAGATCCTTTAATTTTTTTTTTTAAATTCGTTAACTAATAACTAATAATATGCAATTTTAGATAAAATTTGAACACCTATGTAGTACTTTACGTGCCAAATAATCTAACCAATAATGTTGTACATAAGGAAGTGTTTAATAACATATAAATTTTATTTTCATGATATTTTTAGTGCCATGAGACAATTTAAATATAAAAATACCTTTTAAAAAGTAAATAGGTAATAAATGCTCCCGTGCATTGCACGGATACCGTACTAGTAGTAACTAAAAGATAATTAGGATTCCCTCCTAAATATCTACTAAACATAGTAACATTTTTTAAAAATTTTGAAATTATCCCGCCTAAATGTGTTTTTGAATTTTTTTGAAAAAATATTAAAGATTCAAACATTTTAAATGAAAAGATCACACACAGATTTATTGGATACATTTTATCTTATCTTAACTTCTATATAATCACATTTCTAACACACACACATTTCTATCTTATCTTAATTTTGAAAATATCCCGCAGAGTATTTATTTATATATATGTATGTATGTATAATATACACACACATATATATAATTTTGTTTTTATTATTATGTGATAAGATAAATTTTAAAAATTAAATAGAATGTATGGCACAATATTTATTTTAAATTTGTTTGTATAATTTTAGATTAATTACATAAATAAATAATATTTAATGTGCATTAAATATTTATCATTATATATAAAAAATACTACTTTTATAAGTGTTATAAATAATAATAATAATGACATTATATAACAATATATTTNTCTCACACCGCCATCACCAGATTTTTCTTGCAGTTCATCAATGGCGCTGTGCCCTTTACCCTTCCTCGCGCAGCCATTTTTTACCTCTCCCCATCTCCCAAGATCCGACAGACTAATATCTACTCGACTGTAAGATTGGATCATCGCCTGTCAACTGTAATGATAATCTTTCAGCTGTTAGACTCGAAACTACAAAGGTTTGTTTTTGACATTTCTTTAAATTAATTTGCCTTTGCTCAAGTACATTCAGGCTATACATATTGTTCTTGACTTCTGAGTGAGTGCTTTCTTTGATTCCAGATGATTCTTGAGCCCCTTAAGCTAATTAAGCAGGCTGATGCTCGTCTGAATTTGACGCAAGGTGTTCTTGAAGGGGTGGGTATGTAACAACCCTTTTCCACATAACATTGAAAATTTGTTGGGAATTCCAAAATATCTCTCGAGGTTAAACCCAATGGCAAAGACACCCAGTTAGTTTTTGGACAGTACAGATACTCCTTGAGGTTTACGTATGTCTTACTAATATTAATAACCTGTTGATGGTAAAACTGGTAAACTGGAAGCAAGTATCTGTAATTTTGAAAGATGAATTAGCTTCTTGAAATGAGTTAAACTTACACTTTTCCCTATTTGTTTAATCTTTTTCAATCAAATAGTCCAACGTCCGAAAATAGCTAACTGACAATTTATGCTCCAACTTTCAATTCTTTGATTTTGCTTTTCTCACAGTTATATACTCTAAACATTCAATCTATTTTCAAAGAGTGCCTTCAAGTAGTTTTCATAATTTCCCTACCAAAAAAAAAAATGAAAAATGGAGTAACTGCAAATATTTGTAGGTTGAGCTGGAATTGTAAGAAAGTTTTTTTCTTTCTCCTGATAATGACTCTTCTTTAACTAGGTGAAATCCTTGGTTATTCTTTTAATTAACCCTCAAAAACCATTTATTTTAATATTTATCTCGTGATCTTTTTGTAGGTGGTGGGTGAAGAGCTTGGTGTACTCCCTGGTATGGATTCTATATTTTCTGCTTTAGAGCTCGAAAAACTTATAGGATTCTTGGGTATTTCATCCCAGGGGAAAAGCGCCAAATACGACATAGTTGTGTATGATGGTATAAGTACTCAAGAAACGATCCGTATGATTGGTGCAACCAGTAAAGCAAGGTATTTGTTACTCTGATGCTATACTTCTTCTTTGTGGCCCGTGTTATATTCTTCTTATTTTCTATAAAATCATTGGTTATTTTTTTTTCACTGTGAAGATTATACTTGAAATATATGAGGAGTCTTGCTGAAAAGACGGATCTAGGGAGGATTGCAGGCCCCTCTCTCTTGAGATTAGTGGATGATGCGTTGAGTCTAAGTGGAAAGGGTACCAATCTGAATGGGAAAATGAGTTCAGAAATTTGGGACTATTTCGAACAAACATTAGATGTAACAACATTTTCTAATCGTGATACGTAAATTTTTCTTTGTCACAGAGCAATTTTTCTGATATATATTTTTATTTTTATTTTCGGCAGAAAGGATCTTCCATCTTTGCCGAACCCCATAAATTCGGATGCTACATCATAATGGACCCCGAAAATCCCATGTCGCTTAATTCCGCCTTACGGTTTTGGGGTTGTGCTATTCAAGCTGGTGCACGAGTATCCGGTGCATTTGGTCTAGCTACACCAGATTCTCATTCTCCTGTGTCATTACACGAAAAAATGAAGATCAACTTTTCACCTCTGCCTTGTGCTTTTGTTCCACATCTTGAACTTGGTATCAAAAAGCATTGGAATGAGATCATGAAGTCTAATAATAGCAAAGATGCTCGAGACCTACTTTCTGGAATTAATGACACTAGCCTCCTCCCATCTTCGGTGAAATTCGACTCGTCTGATAAATCCGTGAAGCTATTCATGCCGGGTTTCGACAAGTCAGAAATCAAGCTCTACCAAGTACATAATGTTTTATCCTAGTTTTTTCGTCTTTTTTTTTTTCTTTTTTAAAGTCACATTGTTGTAACAAAAATTCTAATTCTGTGATTCGAAATTTTGCAGTTTAGAGGCGGGTCTGAGTTGCTAGTTGAAGCAGGCGATCAGAGGCGTGTAATTCGATTGCCTTCTCAAATTCAGGGGAAGGTTGGTGGTGCCAAGTTTGTAGATAGGAGTCTTGTAATCACAATGAGATAATTGATATTTTTCTATCTTTCATGTTTTAATTTGGTCCCAATTCCCAATTCATATATATTCAATAAGATCACATTTTTAATCCCAAATGACTGCCAAACTTATAAATGGGAATATGTATTATGTGAATGTTAAGCAAATGCTTTTAGTCACACTAAATTGATTTACTTCTTTTATTCCAACTGTCTTTCAATTTCATTAGATGATGGTACACATTATCGTGTCTCTTGGCCTCCTTTACTATTTCCAGTAATCATCCAAAGCAAACATATCTGAAGTTTCACTCTTGTTTGAAAAAAAAAAATGAAAAAAAAAGAAACACAAAAACGTTATTTTTTAACTTCGATAGCATTACAAAATTCAAAAGTTTATCAGCTGCTACCTGAGAGCACGAAACTATACTACATCCACGATTCGAACACATTCCAAGGAGAATAAAATAAATAAATAAATAAAGGTTGATTCATTACATTCACCATTTCCAGATATCCCACAGCATGGCTTTTTACTGGGATGTTCATTCATCAATAATCCTTGGTATTCAAAAGTCTTTTTAAGATTGCCCTTCAGAAAAACCTTAATCAGCAGTCAATCAAGCATATATCCATATAATCACTACTCTTTTGGATTAGCTGCCCCATTTCCACCTTCGGCCAGCTTCTTCAAGAAGCTTTGCACGAGCTTGGCTTTTCTTCGCCTCATCCTCAACCCAAGACCTGCAGATTTTTATTTTTTTTGTTTTTAAAAAAAATGGTCAAGCGAAAAAGTTCACAACAGGGATGCAGATGTTTTATACCAGATTATAGTTCTTTAATCAGCTTTAGCAGATAGCCAAATATCAAGGTGATTTCAAACACTAACCTTCAAGTTTCATTGAATTATAAAATAAAACATTAACACTACTGACTAAAGGAATTTAAAAAAAAAAAAAATCAAGGGTGCCATTGTAATTTTCAGATATAGCAGGGTCACTCATATTTGGCTACACCTCAAACTGTAATGCACAATTTTTTTGGGTAATCAAGCCTAGATATGAATTGATTTTAAGAAATCAAAATTGCAATTTGCTTGGATCTTTGCACTATAGCCCTCTTCACAAAGCCTTGCACCATACCTCTTTTTCCCATATAAAATAAATAAAATATAGAGGAAAAGAGAGAAGAACATAATGATACATCAATAGAATCTAATCATCACCTCAATATCTTCAGTGCCTCTATTTCGGCTTCCAGTATAGATTTCTCATCGAGCAAACCTTCCAATTTCAACTGTAAATCGTGCCTTGTATTCTGTACTTCCACCTGCTCAACAACATAATTCTCCTTCTCAAGTTCAAGTTTTTCCGACATATCCGCAATTTCGGCCTTTAAACTCGAAAGCAATTTTTCTTGACAATTCAAAGCTGCCTTCTGCCTCATTATTTCAGCTAAAGCATTCTCTTGAAACATTTTTTCCTGTTCAAAAGCACTGATAGCTTCACTGTAGCTAATTTCAACTTCCAAGCCACGATTTTTTTCCTCCTCCATCTTTCTTTCCCAGTACTGCTTTATGTCACCTCTCTCTATAAGCTCGGTTGTAAGTTCTTTTATTTCGATTTGCCTCGCAATATATTCGGCTTCCAGTCTCGATATTTCCTTGTATAGGAACTCTGTCATCCTTCCGCTTGTTAGTGCAACTGCAGCTTGGCCCTTTGTGCATGGTTTATTTGGTTGTAGCCGTTTACTCTGTCCTGAGAAATGTAATTCAGAAGTCAATATTTGAATTATTGGTATTGCTTTTGTACTATGAGATCTAAAAATTAAATCTTAAATGAAAAATAATTCAAAGAATTTAGAGAACTCTAGAAAAACAAAAAATAACTAAAAAAAAATGGAACCTACACAAATCTCAAAAAACAGAAAAACTATAGAATAAATAAAACCAAAAACATAAAATCTAGGAGACTCGAGATAACCAAAAACTCGTCTGATGATGCTCTTCTCATCAGCAAAAGTGTCCACAAAAATCTCCGGCAATGCATCCGAAGAAATGTCCTTCACATCCAGAAAACCAACTTTCTTACGTGACACCTGAACTGCAAGAAAAGTAAGGATTTTAGAAATCAAATATTTTTCAAAAAGAAAAAAAAGAAAAAAAAAAGAAAATCCTCATATCAATCCAGCCTTTATTTCATGTGGGGTAAAGCAAAAAGTTTGAGATTTACAATCACTCGTACCTCTTCATTAAGTCCTGGCATGGCCTTATACTCTATTTTTGCCTTCCAACCAATCAGATCCTGGCGAGATATAAACCTATTACATTAAAACAGTAGAATTGCTTGTCAGCATAGAAGAATAGTAGCCACTCGGAAGCCAAAGAACAGAAGGGGAAAATATGAAATTTGGGAAGATTTCAGGTACCTATCGGGTAAAAACAGAAAACCTTCTTCACCCAGGTTCGAGTTGGAAACGGGATTTTTATCAGACAGTTTGCTTCTAACAACACCAGCCTCAGCTAGAGCTAAATGCAGGTTTAACACACAGTTCAAGCGCCACAAATTGAGTCATTGACTATATAATCAAGTCAAGTGATTTCTTAACAAAATCTTACACTGAATAGATTCAAAATCAGGGTCTTCAATTCCCACATCATCGAAGGCAGTGCTTGTAGATCCAGAAAGTGCAGATGAGGTACTTAAACGGTGCTCCCTACTCCTGAAAACCGAACATAATAGAACTCGATTAAGATTATGATATGAATATGATGACTGATAAATAACATTACAAAAATATAAAATATTACTCCACCACTACCTCTCCAGATGTGAATTCACCCGAACTAACCATCGAGCATATTCCCGTCTGGTACATAGTTCGTCTGCTTTAACATCATCTTTAATAATCTGTACACCTTGTCCAGAAGAATCACACGGAAGAAACTGAGAAAACGTGTTTTGTGATATATTAACTATATCTTGCAAAACATGAAAAATCATTTCAACCAATAGATAGACAGAATAGGAATATATGAGAATACTGGGAGATTACTAAAGTTGCAAAAGCATAACACAGTCATCCAAGAAGAAACTATATTGATAGACATTTAAAAACGAAAGAAGAGAAAGAAGGAACAGTTGTGTAAATAAGTATATTGCAGAAAATAAAACATTACAATGTGAAGCCACTGAAAACATACCTTGAGTGTCCTTAGAGCTGAGAGAGCTTCTTGTTGAGCAGCATCCGCAGCAATTGGAATAATAATACGCTCAGATTTTTGTTCTTTCATTGTCTGAGAGCTTTTATCTTGATGCAGTGAAAGACACATTAGCTAGAGTCAAAGGTACCGAAAACTAATACATATGACGTATCACAACAAGAAAATGCAAATTCTCTACTTTAACTCGTTTTTTTGAAATAAGAAGTCGATCATTAGGCGATGTGCATGAGTGTGTGTTTTACTACGAAAGTACGTAATATAATAGATATAGTTTCACCGATTCACGCTACTGTAAACTCTTTTACCATTATAGAAACTAACATTGATCTTTCCAATGTTCATTTCACCTTATTTGAACAACACAAAAACTAATTCAAATAAACTGCCAAAAAGCTTATAATAAAAGTCAAATAGAAAGCACCTGTGACCACTGATGAATCTAATATATCATCATCCATATTTTCCTTGGGTATATGAGCTTCTTCCAACAACAAATCATGTATAACTTCTTCACTATTAGCATCATCCGTAACAGTTGAATAGGGAACCGAAAATCCATGTAAAATACTAAATGGACTTTTGGGACGAAACTCAAAACCTGATGAAGCAAAACAGCAATATCATTCAGACAATTCAACCAAACTACTAAACACAACAAGCAATAGATCAGCAAAGTCAACTCCACTTTACATCAGCCTAATACTATCAATAAGCTTGACATTAAAACTCAACCTTTTCTTGAGAGGGAAAAATAGGCAAGTAACCCAATAGCTGCAGCAAGTGAACCTCCAACACCAAACACCATAAATGTAGGTAAACCTACAAAAAAAACCCATTTCAAAACAATCTGATTTTTACAAACCCTAAACAAAACAAGAAAAAAAAAAGTGATATCGAACACTTACCCCTTTTTTTCACGGGCTCTGGAGGATACTCAGCAATGGCCCAACCATTGTAGTCGTCAGGAGCAATCTTGTCCAACGAAATCCAAGAAACCTCACGGCTGGAGTTTTTCTCAGAAACTGACGAAAAGTAACTAGGTTTTCTGGGCCTGAGGCATAGTGGGTTGACTGAAAAACTGAAATTCAAATTGTGACGCGACAAAAATGGGATCTTCGAGGGCAAGCAGAGCGAGAGGGTCGACGTTGTGGAGCACATTTTCTAGGGTTCTTCCCCTCACTGTAAATTGTTGTTAGTTTCTTGATTTGTATGTTTGGACCGACGAAATTTGGTGAAGAGTTGCCTTCTTCATTGAGAATTTAACAACCATTTCTGCAAAGCACACTCCATTTTCTCATGAAAACTATATCACGCGTCCTAAAAAACAAAATAAAAGTTATTAAGGTTGGATTTGGATTTNTTTTGCCTTTGTTTGGTAATTAGCAGTTAGCGGATAGCGGATTGTTATAGCTGTTTTGACCCGCTGTTAATATTGGCTGTTTTGACCGACTGATATTGTTAGTATTGGCTGTTTTGACCGACTAATACTGTTAGCGGTTCTAAAAAAGATATTTGGTTAGATAACTAATTGATTTGTAAAAATATATTGAATATTATTGACTTATTTATTTTGTTATATATATAAATATTTTAAAAAAACAATGAATACCAATTGTATTTATGTAATTACTTTTTGTATCAACAAAAATTAAATTGATTCTTAAATTAAATTAAGTTTTCATACTTATTATAATTAAAGTATATTAATAGCAAAAATATAAATTAAAAATATAAAAAGTGTGTTAATGCACTTAAATACATATTGATATTTGAAAAATTATAGCAACAAAATTTAAAAAACTTATAGGAACACTCACATGAAATAAATCTAAGAAACTAGATGTGCTAATTAAAATTATATTTGGTAATCAAATATTTTTATTAATTATCAATATTTTAATTACTTTTATCAATATTATAATAATTTAATATTTTTTAATTAATCGTAGTTATAATTAGCTAAATGCCAAATCATTTATAGTTTGAATACTTAATAATGTTATTTTGTAAGTACAATAATAATAATAATAATAATAATAATAATAATAATAATAATAATAAGAATAAGAATAATATAACTTCCATATATGATAATAGTATTCCAACAAATATAAGAAAGCATGCCAATAGTGTTTTTATGTTAATTTATTGCTTTGATTTTTTTAAGTGCTAATTTATTGATTTTTCTTTGTCCGTGACTTCCATAATTAATTCATTGTCCAAATCAATTTTGTCCTCCATTTTCTTAGTATTTTCAATCATAAAAACAATCATGTTAGCAGTGGTAAGCAAAAAGCCAAATGGAAACGCTGCTAGTTGTAGCGTTTTCCAATTTAGCGGTTTGGAGCAAAAAGCTAATTTACCAAACACAATTATTAGCTGGTCAACAAGTCAAATAAGCTATAAAGTGGTCAAACAGCCAAAAGTTGTCTGAAAAGTCAGTTACCAAACGAATATTTTTATTAAGAAACAAATTTACAATAATTAATACTCTTTTTCTTTATAGATATGATATAAATAGGCATGGTTAATTGTGATATGGTAAAAACTTGACCCTCCGAACTATCGCGATTCTCGCGCTATCATATAATTTATTTTTATTTTTTTCAAACAACCATATAAACTATACCATTTGTTTACAATTTACCCTAAAAAACCCTAAAAAACGGTATGTAAAGTGGTTTTATAACAAAAAAACTTATTTACAAGGACATTTTGAAAAATTTTAAATTATGCACAAGTACTCAAAGGACCAAACCATAATTTATAGACTTTTTAAATATAACAAACTAAACCCTCTTCTTTGTCAATTTTTCAACTACTAATTTTTGAAACCCTAATTTCCTTTGTTTGTTGGTGTTGAATTGCATTTTTGGGACTTTGGTTTGAAGCTAGGGAACTTGTTGGAGGCCTCCAATGATGAGCTCGGGCTTCTGCCGACATTGGTCGGGTTAGAAAGTGAGTCAAGGATCGAGATGGATAGGGTTGTGTCTTAATCGCGGAGTTCGGCTGTGACTCCTTCGATTTTGGATTTGGGGAGGTGAAAACAAACTTGGTAGAAGTGATTATTACACCAAGGTCAATTCCCACGTCTAGCTATGTCCAGTGCCGCCAAAGTCTTACAGCTCACTCACGAACTCGGTCACAAGCCAACGGTGACACCATCAAGTGGTTCTTCTAGTAGGTGGATTAGACAGTCATCGCTACCACTGGCACAAACACCATTTAAGCCAACTTCACCTCGTCCAACATATCCTTTCGAAGATTCAGAGTCTGACGTCTCTGACCCATCGCATTTGAGGGACAAGTTCGGGTACTTCAACATCTAGGGGCAATCCTTACTGGAAACGAGCTTCGGCCGCCTCCGCCACTACTGTATCCCTCGCCGAGAGGGAAGCCGGAGATTTAGCTAGTCCTCTTCCGGGTATGCGGCCCTCTCGGTGTTCTCGTTGTCGGAGCACGACCACCGCATTTCTTTTTCATCATTTTTATTTTTATTTATTATATTTTTCAAAAAAATATGCGAATTTCCTTAAATACCCTAAAAAATCGACTTTTTTTAGTCAAAACCACTTTATATTCGATTTAGAGGGCAAGATGAAAAAACGTAAAGTTCGCATGGCTGTTTAAAAAAGCTAGTAGATATGGTAAAGCCGTGATAGTTCAGATGGGTCTATGTTTATTACAAATAATAAAATAATAATAACAATAATAATAATAATAATAATAATAATAGTAATAATTAATAGTCATAAAATGGATGAATAAAATATGGAGTTATAAATATAAATGTGTAAGAAATGCTTCGTATTTTTTAATTTAAAAAAATGTGTTGAGAATATTGGAAAAACTATTGGTACCAATTTGATCACAATTAATAAAAGAGCGACACACAGCAGCGAAGCAAATGGGGGCTCAAAATGATAATAAAAAAAAAAAATAGACATACAAACGGTACGTTTTCCAAGCTGGTCCTCAAATACCGATCTGTACTACTTCCCGGCCGATTTGGATTACTTCTCAACCGACTAGGACTACTTCCCGACCAACCTGGACTACTTCCGAGCCGGCTTAGAATACTTCCCAGCCAACTTGGACTACTTTTCAGCCGACTCGAATAAAGGTAGCTTCCTCTAAGCCTTCCATAAAGCTCTTGGTCTTGCTGTGGTTAGCGTCTTTGGTGTATAAGGGCTAAGCATTATTAACGATGTCCTCTTCGTAGCTATCTCTGGGTCTGAGAAGAAAGGTAACTTCTGGCGGGCTGTAACTATTTGGTTATAGTTGTCGGTGTTGTGTCAGGGAGGCGACAACCGCCATGCCTCAGAGCTTTTTTCCTGTGGTGATCTGTAAGGAAGAAGGTCTTGGCTTTGTTGATTTTGGTTGAGTTAGCCTTGGCCTATTGAGAATGGGAGTTTGGAGTTTTTTTTATTGGGATCGGGGTTTTGTTCCTATCGTTCTTGGGGTTGCCTTCAAGTTTTGTTCTCGTTAGGGAGGTTATAATTTGTTGGACGACAGTAAGCAAGGCTTTCGTGTATTGTTAGGTGCGTGTTTGTATTTGCGTTTTATTTTTCTTCTATTTTTTCGCTTTTAGTCCAGCTTCGTCTCGCGTTTAGTCCCTTTATAGAGTTGTTTTGTTTCCTTTATGGAGTTTTTTGATTTGCGGGTGCTTGTATCACTTTGGTTGCGAGTGTAATTTCAAGAGGGTTCATCCAAACTTTATTTTGGCTCTAATGGTGTCCTTTGACACCTCAAGTATTTTTTTTTTTAACCAGATTCAATTGTTACGTCTGTCAGTCCTGAACCCTTGTAGCTGGCCCTTGGACTACTTCGAGAGGTAAATCGCGCGATGTGCTCTGTTGTCAGATGTACCACTCCCTTTATACCCTAGCGTTCTAGAAGGTCTAACGTCTCAGAGGTGATTACCAGTCTGTCCCATTTTCATGAAAGAAGAAAAAGCTGCCAAGGATTCCCTCCATCTGGGATTCGATCCCATACGCAGAGCATTCATGCCTAGCGAGGGCAGTCATGCTACCAGCAGCCTAATCGTCCTGTAGTCAATGGGCCTTGAACCGAGCACGTTGTTTGACTGGGCCGGTTCCGACCATACATTTGTACTTTTGAGTCGTCGGGCCAATTCTAAACAAGAACCAAAATCTTCGACTATTTTTTTTAAAAAAAAATAATTATTATTTTTTTTATTTTTTTTATTTTTTAAGTGAATCGGGCTGGCTCGGAACCGACGGTTCACAGAACTGGCCCAGAACCGCGGTTCACCAAACTGGCCGGCACGATGTTTGGGCCGGTTCAAGGCCGTTCTACTCCAGAACCGGTTCTGGCCATGTACTGTGCTTAGAAAGGAAAAAAAGAAAAAAAAATTCCAAAACCTTGCGTCATAATCTCGCACATATATCACTCACACTTCACTTCAAATAAGGGTCAAAATTCTATCTGCACAAAACTCAAACTGTCAAAATCTCTCCGGCGAACGTCCGATTTCCAGCCTCTCTACATATACGTCAATCCGTGTATTCGTGCTTGTGATACCGAAAGTAGTTCTTGACTGAGGCACAAGAAGATGGCTGCGGAGAGTTCCGCCGCGGCGGCGACCGGTAGATCTGGCGGCGGAGGAGCATCGGCGGACTCGTACATCGGCAGCGTGATAAGCTTGACTTCGAAGAGTGAGATCAGGTACGAAGGAATACTCTACAACATCAACACTGAAGAGTCCAGCATCGGCTTACGCAACGGTGAGAAGAATTGGGGAGATTAGTATATGAATTGTCTAAATTCAGTATCATCGTTGCCTAATTTAATTGAACATAAAATTAGCATATGAATTGCGATTTGATTTGTTTTTTCAATTTTCACGTATAGCTATTAGTTATGGGAATTAATATACTTCAGTCGAGTTTTGTCCTTGTTGTATGAGTTAGATTGTTATGCGCTGGTTGTTCTGTTGATTTAGTCGAAAATTTGTTCGTTTGGCCTTTTGGTGTGAAGTATTACCTCGGAGTGTTGATGTTGATGAGCAGTAACATTTTATCCTTTTGGAATTGTCTTGGCATGCTGTGTTTACACAGCTATGAGAGGTAAATTGTTCGATGCATGCTGTTGGGGCAGTTCTTTAAATTTTATGGTTGTAAGACTTTTGGCAGGTTGTTGGCTCAGAGCTTGCAAAATTGCACCTTTCTTTATTCATATCCGTTAAGTAGAACAAGCCGTGGGTCACATGGCTTTTGGTTAATGTTTGGTAAAAATCTTATACGGGTCATCTTGTGCTGTAAATTTTACTAAATTTTTTATTTAGTGTTTTTCCTGTTTTGTCTCGTGTCCGTCGTGCCATTTATCTCTACAATAGTGTTTTCTAATCATTTCGTGTTTGTGTTTGTGTTTCATATTATCCAGCCATTGCCACCTCTACTAAATTATTTTATTATGTCAGTGAGGTCATTCGGTACGGAAGGTCGGAAAAAGGATGGTCCTCAGGTCCCTCCTAGTGACAAAATTTATGAATACATACTATTCAGAGGAAGTGACATCAAGGTGCATAACTGATTTCCATACATTTGGTTTGATTTCAATTTTTTCCCTCCCTACAGAAGTGCAAAATTTGCAGTGGGTTTCATTTTCTGCTGTTGGGAGATCTTTCCAATTAGTACATGATTTGGTATGTTATCCATGCGCAGAAGAAAGAAGTTGCCACGAATAGATTGTACTTGGGCAGCTTTTAGTTTGAACAATACAAGAGCAAGCTCTAGCAGTTCCCCTTTCTACGATCCATTTAGTTTAAATATATAGTTCGTGCCCACATAATTATAAATTCTACTTTTCTGATTAATCTTTTTAGTTTAAAGAGTGCCTAGATACGGAGTCCGGAAGCTTTTGTTCTAGATAGTCAGATACATAAATGCAATTAAAATTCCCTATATTTGACCTGTGCGTGGGATTAAATTCTGTCACTCATATGTTTCAGAATGCTTACATTTTTATCTACAATCGTATGTTCCACAATCCACAGGATTTGCAAGTCAAAGCTTCTCCACCCGTTCAGACCACTCCACCCATTAACAATGACCCCGCAATTATTCAGGCAAGTATTTGCACAGCTACATTAGTGATGCGACACTTTAAGACTCAATCTGTGGCTAAACATTTAATTTCTGGTGCAGTCTCACTATCCTCGTCCACCAGCTCAGACAGCAAGCATGCCTGCAGCAGTCCCCAACGCTCCTTTGCCTGACCCTAACTCCCATTCTTCGCAAATGGGACTCCCTGGCTCGACTTTCCCTAACAGTCTGCATTTATATCAACCTGGTGGGAACTTGAACTCATGGGGACCTTCTCCATCAAACCCAAATGGCAGTGGCCTGGCCATGCCAATGTACTGGCAGGGATTCTATGGCACACCTAATGGATTGCCCCAACTGCCACCTCAGCAGTCCTTGCTTCGGCCGCCACCTGGCCTGTCTATTCCACCTTCCGTGCAACAGATGCAATTTTCGAGCTTCAATCCTTCTCTACCAATGGCATCGTCTAGTTTGCCGGCTTCAACCCTGCAAGATAAAGACTCATCCTTGGTTCCAAACAACACTAGTTCACCTGGTTTGATCCCTAGTACTTCTTTGACTTCCGCAACGTTGTCTTTGAACGTGCCCCCTCTACAGCCTATGCCGCTTGTATCTGAAACACCGAGTAATCCACTTCAAAACAAAGCTTCTCTATTGTCTGACTCGAGTATCCCGACATCAATTCCAAGCTCTAGCTTGTCATCTTTAGCTCAATTTCCGAATGCAATTCCTGATAATGCTGGACTACAGTCGGCTGCCATCAAACCCAGCCCGATACCTGGCCCAGCAGCCATGACCCAGCAAAGTATGTCTCAGCTGGGAACATCATCTTTATCTGGGACATCTGGTTCTATTCTTACTGATAAGAAGGCACCTCCACTTGTAACTCCTGGTCAGCTTCTGCAATCTGCACCACCTGCTGTCTCTGCACCTCAAGCTTCACAGACAGTGCAGAAGGACGTTGAGGTGGTCCAAGTGTTATCAAAACCGCCTCCAGAAGCTTTGTTGCCTGTAGCACCCGAAGCTCAGCCGCCAATATTACCTTTGCCGGCAAATACTCGAGCTCAAAAGGTTTTTTGTTATGTTTTTTCTCCCTAGTGTCTTTATATGCACTGCTATGTCCAAAAGTTATTCATTCTTTTTAGTGACTGCTAAAGTTTGATTGTTTCATTGAATGCCATGAAAAATCTGTATGTTTCTGTCTGGTCTAAAGCTAATGCTGAATGGGATTATGGTTTTTCATTAGACCATGCGTGTACAGATTGTTACAACTTTTGGATGGCATCGCATCAATGAGTATATGACTGGGTGGACACAGACTGGTGATTTTGTTTGGTCTCATAATAATTAATATAGTAGTTTAGATTTCTTATTATGAAAATCCTATCATTGAATTACGTGGATTAAACAACACAGCAGCTGAAGTACATTGTAATGGAAAATTTTGATGAACTTGAGTGGCAAATATTGCCAATTTATTGTAAGAAGTCTAACTCTTGTCGAATTGTAAAAGTAGGATGTCATGAGGAACATTTGAATTTAAACCCATGACCATCTCCCCGACTGGATGCATTGAAGATATTAATAATTCTTATTTCTCATTTGTCATTAATTATGATTCTTTGTTCATCACGTTTCATGTTTTTGCTCTTTGCATACATTAATTATCATAAGCGAGGTTATGAGAACATATTAGTACTTCAGATGTTGGGATATCTTGTAGATATTATAATTTGCTTGTTCTCTTTGTCAGTATTTTAGTTTTTCACCGTATTTTATTGTGAACATGGCTTGTAAATTGTAGTATAGTTGTTAAATTGTAATATTTGAGCTAATACTGTATTTTATTATATCTTTTAGCCAAACGGAGGTGTTTATCATCTGCGTAACAATTATAGAGGGCGTGGTGGAAGAGGATCTGGGGTAAGATTAAGAATAATATTAAACTTACAATTTTCTTGCAATTTCCTGAAACTACAAAAGTGGTTTGTTTTCTGTTGAATATCGTGTACCTTTTATCAAGGACCCTAATTCTTACATTTTATGCAATAGATTCTGAATTAATGAATCTCCTTGACTTTCAGATCTCACGCCCTGTGGCGAGATTCACTGAAGATTTTGATTTCTCAGCAATGAACGAAAAATTCAATAAAGACGAAGTGTGGGGTCATTTGGGAAAAAATAATAAAACTCAATCCAAAGATGAAGAAGACGAAAGTGATGAGGAAGAAGATTTGCAGGTTGAGGATGATACCAAATTGCCCAAGATCGATGTCAAGGTGATTTCATATATTCAACTGTTGTCTAAACTCTAAAACATGATATCGGCAATTTTTTAGTAATTTCATACTCACTTTGGGCAATTTCTGTCGCCTTTTTTTTTCAGTCTGTTTATAACAAGGATGACTTTTTCGACTCCCTATCCTGCAATTCACTGCAAAATGACCCAAATCATGGAAGGACTAGGTATTCTGAGCAAATGAAATTGGATACTGAGGTATGAATGAAAGAACTATTTACTCCCAAATCACCTAAAAAAATAAATAAATTATATTTTGACAGTGGCTGATGTATTTTTCCCCCAATTTAATGTAGACATTTGGAGAATTTTCAAGATACCGGGGTCGTGGAGGACGTGGGCCTGGCCGTGGTGGTGGTCGGTTTCGTGGGTCGTACCAAGGAAGAGGTTATGGTGGATATGGCGGATATGTGGGGAGGGGCCGTGGTGGTAGAGGTATGCAGAGTCATTCCTAGAGAAAGAAAAAAATGGAGCATTTTGTGTGTTTTGAATTAATAGTCGTTTAATTTAACTTGTAATGCCCATTCTGCCCCTCGAGACAAGTCGAAAGTCTTGAACAGAGAAGCAAAGTTTCAGATCTTGCCTCATGGGAAGGGGCTGACTTAGTATAACTTGCTTGTAATGTATGTGGGTTTTAACTTATGGTGGTTTAGTTAAATGAAGTTGGATTATGAACTATACCTGTTTTTCCTCCTCATTATAGGTAGAGCAGAGTTGTTATTCATAACTAAGTTGTTCGCGAACACAACTTGGTTCGGCTTGTGAAAGCTCGAGCTTGGTTTGGCTCGGCTTGTTCGTTTATGTGTAAACAAACCGAGTCTTTGGCTCGATTATTAAACAAGCATGAGTTTACACAACTTGGTTCGGCTTGTGAAAGCTCGAGCTTGGTTTGGCTCGGCTTGTTCGTTTATGTGTAAACAAACCGAGTCTTTGGCTCGATTATTAAACAAGCATGAGTTTGAACACGATTTGCTCGGCTCGGCTCGAATAAAACCCCTGCTTATAGGTTGAAAATAATTATTAGGGATCGGAATTTTCTCTTAGTTGTGTTGGATGTTGGGAATATTTTGTCAGATGCATAGTCGTGTTTTGCCATTTCGATGAGTGATTATGAGCTTGTTTGGTAAGCATCATAAGCTAGCTTATAACTTATTTAGTTAGTTTATAAGTATTTTGTATACAAATAAACTTGGTTTAGTAGGATAAACTTTTTTAAAAGGCTCAAACTTATTTCATAAAATTCTTTGGGTAACTTTTTAAATAAATTCGTTGAAATTTTTATTTCAATTGGCTACTTATCAGCTAAATTTTCAAATACCTTCATATCAATTAGTTTTCAGCGATAAGCTCGAAATTCAGTTATAAGTAAGCCAACTTATCAGTTATTAGTTACTTTTAACAAACATAGGATATGACCTCAACTTGTAGCTTGTTATTGGACTACTAGTGTGTATCCCGTGCGATGCACGAGAACAATATTAAATTAACAATATTATAAATAGACCTCGAGTTTGAGTCACTCAATGACGGAAGTGGAAACTACTATTGATCGTATTTAAAAAGAGGAAGAAAAAAAATAATCTCACTTATATATTAATTGAGAACGTGCTGATCTTATATGGCAGGCTCGCATGCTTTGGGATCCTATGTGGCAATACATGTTTCGTTATTAGGCTTGGGTAGATTTAGTTTACTTCTAATCTAAATATATTTAGGTTCGGATTATCTATAATATGTTGATTATTTATGGTAAGGGTGGACGCCGACCGGGACGGTCCTGGATTTGACTTGTCCGGATACCCATCCCACTTTTATGAATCCGTCCATGAACGGTCCGGGATGAGGTACTGTCGCCACCCATGTAATACATAGGTGTTGTACTAGTTATAAATTAAAGAGGAGGATAAACAATACTTAATAATTATAAATTAAAGATTTGGGGTCAAACAATGTAAAATTATTTTGTATAAGAGAATATAAAAAAATTTGATTACACACCATTTCAAAATTGTTATTATACTTTTTTGTATGGTTAGCTTATAATATTAGTAATTAGACTGATGAAAATTAACTTCTTAAAGTAGATAATGAATTTTTAATAGTAATTATGAATTTTCTATTTTATATTATTATTTTTTTTAAAAAATAATGAATTTCTAGTAGTAATTATGAACTAGTTTTTATTTTATATTATTTTTTCAAATCTGTATAGATAAGGGATGCGATTTTTTAAACACGTGGCCCGCCAAAACGCACGAGAGAGGTAAGGAGATCTGAACGAAAATTCAAATCACGGCTATGACCAAGCACAAACAGTTCCAATAAGAAAACAATAAAATTGAACTACAAAACTTCACTAGTATAAAGTTTTATCTCCAAAAATATCATCGATTCAACCCTATCAGTTCACCCATCAACAGATTCGATTTCCTCCCAAACATCGGCCACGCCGCCGAATGAGGTCTTATCTGCGAAGGCCTCCGCTTCACTTCTCCTTCCTCGGCGGCAATTGTTCTTCTCGATGGGGGCCTTCGTGATATCGTGATTCGTGTCGATCGCTAGTGCCGAGACCTGGATCTGTCCTCGTCGGCCATCTTTCAGCAGTTCGCCAAGTTGGGCTGCTAATGCAAATTGAGATGTGTTTGATTTTGGGGTAAGCTGGGGAATTTCTGAACCTAGTTAAAAAGTAGGTTTGGAGAGGTAGTGGTATGGGCCGTCTTTGATACACTTGTCTAGTTTTATGTATTATTTAACATGGACTAAGTCCATTAAATTTGAGATGAGTGGAATAAAATTAGAGAAATTTACACCCTATACTATCAAATATATTTTATATTACACATTTACACCTAATTGATATTTATTTGCAAAGATACAAAATCACCCTAAAATAATTGCACATATACTAGAATTCAAACTTAAGTCAGCGTATCCTTTAATTAGGGAAAGAGACGGATTTAATGGGATTTAATACCTTAACTTTCTTCTATTCTCTTTTATTTTCAGAATCTTGTACCCAATTTTTTTCTCTCCATGGTCCATACTCTGTCTTGAGGAAAAAGCAAAAACGAAATTCACCCCCTTTTTCTCCTCTGATAATAACACAGAGAAAGGCAGACACAAATCACTACACCTATCTCGGGAATTTCGAGAAGCCGAGTTTACAAAATGTTCAGGAATCAATACGACACCGACGTGACGACATGGTCGCCGGCGGGGCGGCTGTTCCAAGTGGAGTACGCGATGGAGGCGGTGAAGCAGGGCTCCGTGGCGAATCAAATTGACATTCTTGGCCAAATTGTGGGGTTTTTGGACATGTGATTGTCGTTAGCCAGTGGATCAGGCGGCGGTTGTGATCGAGCACCGATTGGACCTCCTTGAAGCTATTGCGTAGGGTTTCCCATGCTTCCAAGTCACAGGGCTCTTCGCCGTCTGCTTCTTCATCGTCGTCCGTATCCTCGTGTAAGATGCGAGTGGCGACGGTGGTGGTTAGGGTTTGTGGAGTATTGACCATAGTCGGTTGATCAAGGAATTGGGCTTGGCTCAATTTTCATTTAGTTATCGGAAAATTGAAATGATCTATTGGAATAGGCGGCGAACATCAATGGATAGGCGGCTATGTATTAGTACCCGTAAATGTTAGTATATGTTGAGTATATAGACAATATATTTTCAGTTTATAGACATTTTATACTTGGATTATTTACATGTTGCTCAGATGACACGTATATGTTGAGTATATAGACAGTATATTTTCAATTTATTTACATTTTGCTCAGACGCACGTATATGTTGAGTATATAGACAATATATTTTCAATTTTATAGACATTTTTATGTTTTCAAAATATTCAAAATATGATTTAAAACAAAAATAAACTGATTTTTGTTGTTGTTGTTGTATATATGTATAGTTTATATACATAGTCCATTCATCATATGAATGAAAATCATCATAGGTGACTTCATCCACAAAAATATAAAAAACATACACCTTTAATATACCAAAACAAAACGATACATAACAGAAGATGGAGTATATGTTCAATATATGTTCTGTATATTAGAAGATTTTTTTGTTAGGGAATATAAGCAACATGTTATAATATGTTTATAAACTATATATATACTTTTACGTATAAAAGTAAAAAAAAAAAAAAAAAAAGGAAGACATAATTTTTTGATGGAAGACATGTTTTTCATTGTAACATATACTGAATATATACTAACATATACGCAATATATACCACCGGACAGCTGCGTGAATTACAAAACATGTTTTTATTTCTCTCTATTAAAAACGTGCGCGAATTAAGGAATTAAATGGGTCGGTTATTTATTTTTATTTCTCTCTCTTAATCAAGTGCATAAAAAGGGGGATGGAAGTGTGAAGGATATGGTAACTTACTTTAGGCATTAATATAGATAAATAAGGTCTTTTAGGTAGAGACATAATTATTTTTACTTGCATGATAAAGTTGCAATTAATTTAAAATCACATAGCATACATAAAAATTTCCCATAAAATTACCCAAATCTCCAAGCCCAATTATTCAATGTATATATATTTTCAGAGGCGGGCAGCCCGCGGCCCGCCAGGCCCGCCCCGCCAAAGCCCGCGGCCCGCGCAAGCCAGCCTGTTTAGGCCCGCTCTTTAGCGAGCCTAGAAAATTTCAACCCAACCCACCCTTTCAGCGGGGCGGGGCGTGCCGGCCTGCGGGCCCAGACCCGTTTTGACAAGTCTACTCGAGATCGCAAGTGGTCAGTGCAATTGGATCATGTGTTTCGGGAAGAGAATTTCATTGCGGATCATCTGGCTTATTTAGCGGCGTCCCTACCCTTAGGGTGCACCATCTTCATGTCCAGCCACCGTCCGTCGGTAGGTGGCTTGTGCTTAATCCCGTCGCGTTCTGTTCCAGCGTCCGTTAGGTCTAGGCCTCCTTTTATTGTACCGAAAAAAAAAAAAATTAGTTAAGAATGCCAATGTGGCTTTGCTATATAAGAGCATCTGCATCGCCTCGTTCAATTGTGTCGTTTAAACGCCCCCACGCGTTAATAGGGATGCAAGCTCATCCATTTAAAGAGAGGGTCCAATTCCTCGTTCAATTGATTGAACGCCCTTTTCCCCTTCTTTTTTTTTGTTTTGTTTTAAAATCATATTTTATTACATGTATGTGCAGCATGATTTTTTCTTTTTAATGAAAAGGGTCCTACATATGTATTTAAATGAATGTGTAGGAATGTAGGTGTTTATTTAAATGGAGAGAGATTTAGTGAAAAGATGATGTGGATGAGACATGGTGTTATTTTTTGATTGAATGAATGATTTTTGTGTTAAGGGATGTGGATGTCCTAAGGATCAAATAAATGGCTAAAGTATACATACATATATATATATATATATATAATGATTTAAAATACTGTTTTTGCTATAGACTTCTTTTCTTTCATATTCTCAAATATATTTTTCCCACAAATGCAAAGACTGCTAATCATTACCTTATCTCTACAATTAATCTCACAACAAGTAACTGTCCAATAAAGGAACTTTAAATAAAAGAAATCCAACTTTTGGAAAAGAATTGTAAACAAAAAACTATCATATTTTAGCACTATTATAAATAAACTTTTTAAAATTTTGTATTAATATAGCAGAATTATTTGTAAAAATTATAAAAACCTAATCGGAAGGGTTGTTTAATTTTTTTATATAAATAAATTATTCATTTTTTATATGAATTGTTCAATAAATACTTCTGCCGCGAAATGGAGTAAAAAGATTATACTCTTTTTATTTATTGTTTGTATAATACATTAATAGAAAAAAAAAAATTATTAACCATTGAATTTTGCATGTATAAACTTCAAATAAACAGTACATAAACACGTCATCTCACTCATGAACATTGTAAATTTTTTTTAAGAGAATACCAATACACCTTGGTTAAAGAGTAGAGAAACAAAATAACAATATAAGTAAATCAGTTTTAAACGTGTAATATACTGACGATAAACTTCTTACAAAACAACCTGATCATGCATGATGCAACCCAACTAATACATACTTATCAGCTGAACACATTGATGAAAATATCTGTGAACAAAACACGCCATCATGGCAATTAGAAGCAATGTTGAAATACAAGATTACACAAAAAAATAAAAACAAAAAGAAACGACCCACATATTTGATACCAGGCCGGCCCTGGCCCAGGCAACCTGGGCGACAGCCCAGGGCCCAATTCAATCTAGGGCACCAGACCACCCCATATATGTCCTTTCTATCTCATTTAATTTTCATTTTATTTTTGACAACATAGAAAGAAAAAGAATTAGGATCAGCCCAATTCGTATGAGCACCACATTTATTCGTATGACCAGCCCAATCTCTTTCCAATATTAAAATAATTAATATGGTCTTCTTACTTTTTCTCTTCCCCATACATTTCTTCTCACGCACATTACCCTATACTAGTGAGCAACCCGTGCGATGCACGGTGAGGTTTGTTCCTCAAAACCTATTTAAAACTTTATTTTTAGATATAATTACTAAAATTTAAACATTTTAGTATGATAAAAAAATTAGATACAAAGTATGAAAAATCATATATTGTTGAACAATTCTCTATACATAATATTTTTTGTTTGATTTTGTGGCAAATCTTCTTGTCAACAAATTAAAATTTTCAAACACTTGTGTGAAAAAAATTAAATTATAATATATTATTTGTAGTGTGATAAATCGTAATATATTATTTTTAGTGTGATAAAATGTGTTGGGATAACTATGACTATTTGAAAAATATTTAATAGTAATCTTAAAAGTTTAAATTTAAAAAGATAAATATGACCATTTGAAGAAATATTTATTTGTAATCTTAAAATTTTAAATTTTGAAAAATGACTGTATATATGCGCCAAGTTTTTAGGAACCAATCGATCATATAATATAAAATTCTTATATGATTTCCAGAGTCTTACGAACGTGACATGAACTTCATTTTTAATTTCAAAATTAAACAAATCAAAAGACAAATTATTAGGTAGTTATGAAAAAAAGTATCCAACAAACTATTTTTTAATTTCAAATTTTACAAATCAAAAGACAATTATTAGGTAGTTATAAAAATAGTCTCCAACAAACTTCAAATTAAACAACACACAACCATCAGATCTGGAGTTGGTTGCAGTCGGCGATCACCACCCGTCTCGAGGTCCGGTGGCTCCCCGACCCGACATTCTCCACCGCCTTCAATATGTCGTACTCCTCCACCACTTGTCCGAACACCACGTGCTTGTCGTCAAGCCACTTCTTCCTTGTCGTGCAGATGAAAAAGTGCGTGTCATTTGTCCCGGACCAGCCTTCGCCATCGACAGGTCCCGACGTGCTTTCTCATGATGATCTCGGCGGTAAACTTGGCATCATAGATCGACTTGCCGCCAGTGTCGTTACCCGCAGTGAAGTCACTGCTCTCAAAAATGAAATTGGGGATTACACGGTGGAAGGATGAACACGATGAACAGTGTCCGAGCTACAGTTACTACAAATATCATTGCATTTGATTGGTCGGAAAAAGTGTGTATTTTATATATTTATTAGCGCATTTTTATATGCTTAACTTTGTCTTACATATATATTTTTAGACTTATTTATTAGATAGATTCAAGTGCTATGATATATTTATTGTTTATATTCAGACTATTGGAGTACTTTTATGGCGAGACATTAAACGGAAGTTCCGGCCGGCAGAATATGGGGTACCCCATACCATCCCAATTTTTGGGCCCGTTCTTGCGAGATTTGCCAAGTCCTTCTCGTCGGTGCATAGGGCGCAAAAGTTCTCGTCGGTCTTCGTGACGACGTCGGCGAAGAGCTCCATCACGATTCAGCGGCGGGGCTAGCTGCTAACCGTTATGTCGAAGTAAGCACTAGGATTCGATAGGTTGATTTTAAATTTTTTATTTATGAGTTTTTTGTGATTTTTTTTATTTGTGACTAACTGAGTTTTTTATTTTTATTTTTTTGTCTAAAACTTAAGATTTTGTGATTGGGTGGGGAGGGGTTTATATAAGAGATCGATTGAGTACAAACTTTAAAAAAATGTATTCTTTCTCAACTTTAAAAAGATATTGTAGTTAGATAAATATGGAGAAAAAAATATGAGAAATGTTAGAGGTACATAACACTTTACATAGAGGTGTACATAACACTCACATTAAGTGGGTCCTACCAAAAATAAAAAATCATTTGGACCCCACTCTATGTGAGTGTTATGTACACCTCTATGTATATTTATTATATAATTGTAGCATTTTTCAAAAAATATTTACCAGGAATTCACATAATATGAGATTCTTTCCAAACTTTAAAAAGATTTTGTAGTTTAATAGATATGGACAAAAAAATATCCATAGATAGAGATTTGCCCGAATTTTCAAACCTTTTTTATATATATAAATCAATTTGTGCTTTGGGTGGGAATTTGCAATTTTTTTAAAAAAGTTCATTATCAGTAAAAACGAAAATTTTAGGCGGGATCTTACATACTATTCACAACTAAATGTTTTGCCTTTTTATATATTCATAGATATATATTTAAGTCGTAAATTTTTTATATTATATGATTATATGGCTAAAAATATGTTGTTTCAATCAAATAAGTCATATATTATTTCAGTTAAAGAATATAAACCACCAAAAAATAAAAAAGTAGTTAAGATATATGTCATAAAATAATGTAATTTATTATTATTAAGAAAAACAAATCAATATATTTACACACAAAATTCATAAATATAAATAATTTATGGAGGATTGAAGTTTATCAATATTTAGTATAACATCCATTATTCTCGGAACAACTTTTTGTTTGATTTGCAACATTAATTTGAATGAAAAAAAATCCGTAATTATTGGAATATCTTGATTCAAAATCTCAATTTTTTGGCATAAGAATCTCCAAATTTGCTACCAATAAAAATGAGATTCGTATTGATGAAATGAATTAAAGTTTGACATAAGAATCTCCAAATTTGTTACCTTAAGAATCTCCAATTTTTATGGGATATCACATTAAATTTGATTCTTAAAGAAAATAAGTTGTTTCAATCAAACAATTCATATATTATTTCAATTAAAGAATATAAACCACCAAAAAATAGAGAAGATTTTAGGATTTAGGTCATAAAATAGTGTAATTTATTATTATCTAAGAAAACCAAATCAATATATTTACACACAAAATTCATAAATATAAATAATTTATGGAGGATTGGAGTTTATCAATATTTAGTATAACATCCATTATTCTCGGAACAATTTGTTGTTTGATTTGCAACATTAACTTGAATGGAAAAAAAAATTGTAATTGTTACGATATCTCAATTCAAAATTTCAATTTTTGCCATAAAAATCTCCAATTGTTAACTATAAAAATGAGATTCGTATTTATGAAATGAATTAAATTTTGGCATAAGAATCTCCAAAATTTTAACTTTAAGAATCTCAAATTTTTTTGGGATATCTCACTTAAATTAATTTCCTAAAGAAAATAAGTTGTTTTAATCAAATAAGTCAAATATTATTTCAATTAAAGAATATAAACCACCAAAAAATAGAAAAGAAGTTAGGATTTAGGTCCTAAAATAATGTAATTTAGTATTATTTCAGAAAAACAAATCAATATATTTACACACAAAATTCATAAATATAAATAATTTATGGAGGATTGGAGGTTATGAATATTTAATACAACATCCATTATTCTCGGAATAATTTTTTGTTTGATTTGAAACATTAATTTGAATGGAAAAAAATTCGTAATTGTTGGGATATCTCAATTCAAAATTTCAATTTTTTAGCATAAGAATCTCTAAATTTGTTACCAATAAAAATGGGATTCGTATTTATGAAATGAATTAAATTTTGGCATAAGAATCTCCAAATTTGTTACCTTAATAATCTCCAAATTTGTTACCTTAAGAATCTCCACATTTTTTGGGATATCTCCCTTAAATTTGATTTCTAAAGATTCACATGTGCTTTTTTCAAAATTTTCACTAATAGTAAGTCAACACTTTATTTTTAAAGTCAAAGTTACTATTTTTGTATTTTTTCAACAACCTCTTTATATTACTATAGATTTCCTCCCTCTCTTTCAGTCTTTCTAAATTCTACTTAATCATATGTTATATATTATTATATTATTTTAAGTAATCTATTTACTTCTTTGTTGTTTGAAAAAAAAAATATCTTATTTATCTTATTTACTTTTGAAACAAACTATTTATATAATTTACTTTTAAAAATTTATATTATTTTTTGATAGCAATTATAATTATTTTATGGTTTAAATTTGCTTCACTAATTAAAATTTTTTCAGTGAAGTTTAAAGTTTGTTTAATGTATATTTAAATATACCTAGTAATATTAAAAGAAAAAACATACAGTATTTTTAGAGTGTGAAATCATGCCATTATCTTTTATGGGTGCAATGAATTTTTTTATTGAATTGCTTCTAGTTGCTAGTTTTTGTTATGAGGTTGCATTTTATTTTTTTCGGTTATATAATTCTATTATTTAACTTTTTTTCAAAAAATGAAATGGGTTATGAATTTTATCACTTTTTTGTTAAATAATACTCGGGCATTATTTTTGGATTTGACCCAGGGCCTTAAAATGTTCAAGACCGGCTCTGTTTGATACTTATATTTAAACCACACATAAACTAAATACGATCCAAATATAAATATCAAAACAAATTTCATGTCTTCAATTTAAAATGGCTGGATTTAACAACATTCTTCATGCCACCGATAAACTTGAGTCGTCGACCACGACTCGTCAGACTTCGTCTCAACCATCTTCATGCCACGAAAATAGTGTGAATATTTATGGAGTCATTCACATTTATTAGACATGTGTCAGTACATTAAGTGATGAATGACTCTATAAAAAAACTATTCGATGACTATATAAAATTTCTGTCTGAAAACATTTCAATTTTTCTATTGTACAACAGATCAAGTTTACTGATAAAAGGATAAAAAGGGACAAACGTAAAGTTTGGCATATGGAAGATGATAATTATAGCAAATGATGATTTGATAACTCCCCCAAATCACGTTAATGGTCTTATTTGTGCAATAAAATAAATAAGAACCAAATCATGTACATACACCACCGTGTTTTATAGAGATGGAATACAATTTATCAAGATTCATTTATGTGGAAAAAGAAAAATATGTTGCTATTGTGGGACATGAAATAAAAAGTTAAAAGGTGAATGTATCTAGTCTAGAGTAATTATTTCAATAATAAATAACAGAAATGCTATAAAACCAATTGGTTGGTTCCCTTATGGAACCAACACCCAATAATAAATAACAGAAATGCTATAAATAAGCTATTTTGGTTTCACTAGTCGCCATCATTATTTCTCAATGCTACATTAAAATAAAGAAAAAGGTGAAACTGTGACAAAAAGAATAATATAAATTAAACGATGATGAGATAACAAGTAGTGGTAATACTATATAAAACAATGTTTTGTTATAATTTCATTATTACTTGTGGTAATAATTTCTCGAGCAAGATTGTATTTCATCAAAAGTATTTTAATTATGATAATATTATTCACCATTTTTTTTACTGTTGCAGTAAAGGAAACAACAAAACACAACACATGGAGAAGAAAAGGAAAAGAGAAAAAAAAAGAAGGAAATCGGAAACCTGAAAACCCTACGTAATAAATAATAATAATCTCTCCCACTTCAAATAAAAGTCTCAAAATTCTATCCGTACTATTCTCCATCTTTTACTCTCTCCGGCGAACTTCCGATATAAATTAGTTTGTGAGTGAGGCCCAAGAAGATGGCTGCGGAGAGTTCAACCGCGGCGGCGTCCGGTAAATCTGGCGGCGGAGGAGCATCGGCGGACACGTACATAGGCAGCGTGATAAGCTTGACCTCGAAGAGTGAAATCAGGTACGAAGGAATACTCTACAACATCAACACCGAAGAGGCTAGCATCGGCCTACGCAACGGTGAGAAGAAGTTGGGAGAAGAGGCATTCTATTTAGTATTATCATTGGGAAGATTTAATTGATTTGACTATCAATTATGAATTCTGATTTGAATAAATTTAAATTATCATGTCTAGCTCGAAAAATTTGGAATGAAACTACTTTAGCCGAGTTTTGTTCTTGTTGTCGTTCTGTTGGTTAATTGAGAATTTGTTCATTTGGGCTGTTGGTTTGAAGTATTTATCTTGAAATCTTAGTGACCAAGGAGTTTGTTCTTGTTGTCGTTCTGTTGGTTAATTGAGAATTTGTTCATTTGGGCTTCTGGTTTGAAGTATTTATCTTGAAATGTTAGTAACCAATCACTTTTTATCTCATCAAAATTTCTTCGAATGATGTGTTTATATTTATTTGAAATAATATTGTTCACAAATTCTTGTGCGAGGCGATTGTTACGGGTCGAGCCGTCATACTTTTTTTTTTTTTGACAAAAATGATACTTATGTTATGAAATGTCACACTTTTGTTTATATTGTTTTTTAGAGTATGACATTTCACTTTGAAAGTACGCATATGTGTTGAAAAAGTATGATTACCTAACCGTTGGGTCTGCCTAATAGCAACCATACTAAATATCAAATGGTGCNTTGGTCGCAAGAGACTAGAGTTTTGGCAGGTTGTTTGCTTGTGAAGATTTCACTTCTTTTGTACATATCAGCAAAGTAGAACAATAGTGTGATATAAGCTTGATTTTGCTCGGCTTGCAGACTTTTTGGCTAAGGTTATGTAAATCTTATAAATTCCTACATGGTTCATGATTCCGAACTCTCCAGTTCAAATCTTATTTTGTCGAATACTTGGGGGAAAAATCTTACTTTAGAACATTATTTATTATGTACTGCCATCTTGTTTTGGGATTTCTTATTAAGTATAAGCTTGCTATGGAAATTCTAGTTTCTGAATCTGTGCAACCTTGTGGTCATAATCATTCATGTCGTGATAGTTTGAAGTTGACTCGTTTGCCATACTTATAAGCTGTAAATGTCAATTTGGGAAGTCTAGCTGATACAATCCTTTTGCCGTGTCATAATTCATTGAAGCTCTACCTGAGTGAATGTCCTCATTCATTTTGAGCTTATCACATTTTACATATCTTTTTCGTATATGATATACCATGGTTAAATAATAGTTCGTGCCCCTAAAATCATTCTATTTTGGCAGTTAGGTCATTTGGTACAGAAGGTCGGAAAAAGGATGGACCGCAGGTCCTTCCTAGCGACAAAATTTATGAATACATACTATTCCGAGGAAGTGACATCAAGGTGCATGTCTAATTTTCAATCATCTAGTTTGATTCCATTTTTCGCTGTTGGAGTATCTTCTCAATTAGTACATTTGGTCTATTATTTATACGTTTAGAAGAAGTTTTCATGAGTAGATTGTGCATAAGTATCTTTTAATTCAAGAGCATTCTGTAGAAGTTTTCTCTTGAGAGATTCAAGAGCATTTTGTCGAAGTTTTCCCTTTCTATGATCCGTTTAGTTTAAGTATATAGTTAACGTCCATGATAAAGTCCCAAGATACAGATTTTGGAAGCTTAGGTTCCCAAAAATTCAATTACAATACACTATCCTTGACTTGTTCTTGATACTAATTCTGTTACTCTAATGTTTCATAATGCTTAAATTTTAATCTACACTTGTACGTTCCACAGGATTTACAAGTCAAAGCTTCTCCCCCTGTTCAGACCACTCCTCCACCCATTAACAATGACCCTGCAATTATTCAGGCAAGTATATGAACAGCTGCATTAGTAATCTGATCCATGAGGACTCAATTACGGCTGACCAATTAATTTCTAGTGCAGTCTCACTATCCTCGTCCGCCAGCTCAGACCGCAAGCATGCCTGCAGCAACCCCCAACACTTCTTTGCCTGACCCTAACTCCCATTCTTCGCAAACGGGACTTCCTGGCTCGACTTTCCCAAACAGTCTGCATTTATATCAACCTGGTGGGAACTTGAACTCATGGGGACTTTCTCCATCAAACCCAAACGGCAGTGGCCTGGCCATGCCTATGTACTGGCAGGGATTCTATGGCTCGCCTAATGGATTTCCCCAACTGCCACCTCAGCAGTCCTTGCTTCGGCCGCCACCTGGCCTGTCTATTCCTCCTTCCGTGCAACAGATGCAATTTTCGGGCTTCAATCCTTCTCTACCAATGGCATCATCTAGTTTGCCGACTTCGACTTTGCCAGATTGTCAATCATCTTTTGTTCCAAACAGCACTTGTTCCTCTAGATTGACCCCTGATTCTTCTTTGACTTCCCCATCCTTGTCTTTGAACGTGCCACTGATTAATCCACCTCAAAAAAAAGCTTCTCCAGTGTCTGAATCTTTTATCCCGACATCAACTCCCAGCTCTAGCCTGCCGTTTTCAGCTCAACTTCCGAATTTGGTTCCTGATAATACTGGATTACAGTCGGTTGCCAGCAAACCTAGCCCGATACCCGGTCCAGCAGCCGTGGCCCAGCAGCCGTTTTCTCGGACATCTGCTTCTGTTCTTGCAGAAAAGAAGACACCTTCACTTGTAACTCCTGGTCAGCTTTTGCAATCTGTACCAGCTGCTGTTTCTTCACAAACAATGCAGAAAGACGTTGAAGTAGTGCTAGTGTCGTCAAAACCGCCGCCAGAGGCTTTGGTGCCAGCAGCACGGGAAGCTCAGCCTCCAATATTGCCTTTGCCAGCAAACGCTCGAGCTCAAAAGGTT